TTTGTTTCCCCTAATGGCAGAGCCGCCCCTCACACCACCCTGCCAAGGGAAGGCCACGCACTGCGGGGCTGCCCGACGGCTCCCCTCAGGAGACAAAATGGCACCTTACTGAGGAGCCCTGCCTCTGCTCCCTCACAGCCTCCCTGCAGCCGTGCAGGTGGGAGAGGAGCTGGATTGCACCCCGTGTCGCATACTTCATACTAAAATATATGTATCTATAGATATAACGCAGGTGGGAGCAATTGCTTCCAGGCACTGGGGTTTGCATAGGAGGAGGTCTGTGGGGTATGAAGCTCTGGGGGGGTATGGAACTCTCCCATCCTGACAGGCAGAGAATGCAATGAGAAACCATGCTGATGACACGCGGACTGACTCCACAACTCACTGGGAGGAAAAAGGTAGGAGATACTTGCCTGGTTCCTGCTTTCTAGGGGAAAGTCTTCCCAGAATTCCTGTCCCAGTTGCTCCAGGTTGGCAGAGGATAGCGGGTGCTCGGAGAGGACTGAATGCCATGCAACCTGCTGCGAGCCGCTCCTGAGGGGAGTTCAAGGTGAGACTCCTATAGCACACTTTATCATCACAGGTCTTTCTGCCCCTGAAACTGGGACAATTTAAAGCCATTGCTTTGTTTGTTTGTTTTTTAATTATAAACCTGGGACCTCTTCTAGTTATTCATTCTGTTGTGAGACTTTTCAGTTCCCATTTAAAAAGAGACATCTCGTCCCAAGAGCTCCAGGGCAAACTCCATCTCTACACACATGGAGACATGATGTTGCTAGGCAAGGTTGGTGTTAATTTAACTTTGGGAATAGCAGGAACAATAGGACTGGAAGGGGCCTTCTGGTTCATCAGACGAGTCCTTTGTTGTTAGAGGCAGCTACGTTATATAATCCCTTTTGCAAATGAATCTCGTTCTATCCTAAAGCTACCTAGGTTATTTTTGTCCCTCTGTGTCCATGGGAAGGCCTTTGGAGAACCTCACTGCTGTAAGGACGTCTCCATCTGAGGAACATCTTGCTCACCACAGAGCATGATTCTTATTAATCTCAAACTGCACAGCCTGATATCCTGTTACATTTCATCTTTTTCCTAACGCTGTAATGTCCAGGATATACGTGTCTTCCTCTGGAATACTCTGGTCCTCCACCGTTTACAGCCCTGCCCTTAATTTGTGTCAGCAGCGCAGTCCTAGAGCAGGATCATTGATCCTGTTTGATCTTTTCAGCAATCTCATGGTATTGCCTTAAGAAACTGTGCCGGTTCCATGCCAGCAGGCTCCCCCTCAGCACTCCTATCATTCCCTTTTGGAAGGGAATGCATTAGGCTGGAATATCCAAGTAAACCTGTTCATTCCCATGCAGATTTTCTTTTCAAATTCAGGGATGTATCTGCAACGCCTGTTCTTCTGTCACATCCTTTAAGGATGTGTCCCGTATCAGGTGAGAGTTTTGTGAACTCCAGCCCTGTGGAGAACACGTGGATGTCTCACTTTACTATGGCTCTTGTTAGGGTCTCAACATAGGTTCTTTATAAGCTTCATTTTCTTTTGCTGTAACTCCGTGAGGAGTTTTGGACACAATTAGCATTGACCCTTTCTACAGGATTTATTTCCATCTGATCTCTTGTTAGGGCAGGACAGAATGACCTTAACTACTCATTGCAGAAAAATCCAGAGAATCTCCTGTTTTCTTGTACCCTATCACATTGATTGTGTGAGAATTTCAGAGAAGGAGGGGGGGTCCTGTTACAAAGAGACCTGTTTCCCACCCTCTTTTTTGGCACTTCTTAGAAGGCCTCTCTGGAAGGGACTAATGGCCCTCTGGGACAAGACCTCTTCTGCCAATAACCATAGGTCAGAAGTTAAACTGAACAACGAAGAATGAAAGCCAGATAAAATGCACTATAAATCTTGACATTCTAATTGAGAACTGTCCAATGCAAACTGCAGTAGTGTGTCTGTTTTGCCTCAATGCCCTACAAGAGACCAGATCCCTCTTTCCTTAATGGCTTGAAGCATCCTCCTGATTTTTACTGGGACTTCTCACTTGATTTAGACAAGCAAGATTTGGGCCTATGCAGTCTCTTTGAAAAGAGTTGAAGTTTGATAGTTAATGTCATTTCTCTTTTGCAGTTATAGGAGCAGAAAGGTGGGTTTGATTTCACAGTAAAGGCATGTTCAGCTCATCTTTCAGGCAGAACTGACATGACTGTGTATGTGTGTGTCTGGGGACAGAGATTTGCAGGTCAAAAAGATCTGTGGACAAGTACAGCTCATACAGAGAATTCTCATATGAGAATTTTTCTCATACAGAAAAAAAAATAAATTGCCTGAACATAACATGTCATCTAAGATGTTTTATAGATATTTTTGCTGTCTGAGGTAAATGGGGGAGGATTACACCTATTTTACAGACTGGTGAAATCAGCACATAAAGAATTTAAATGACTCACCCAAGATTACACAATAACTCAGTGGCAGACCCTAGCAGAGTCTGGAGTCCCAGTGCTTCCAAACACACTAGCCTGACTTGTCTCCTTGGTCTTGTCATCTCTGTCATATGTACTTTGCTTTCAGATGCTTGGAATACATACAGAATCAAAAATAGAAGAACACAGTTTGTTTATTCCACTGCTTATATATTAAACATCAGTTTTGTGAATAGTTTTGTTGTTTACATTTACATAGGAATTCTAATTATTGAAGCAATTCGTTCCAGACTTTCGTTACTCCCTTTCACAAAGCAACATATAGATGCTGGAACAAAACTACCACTACTACAAGCAGACCACTGTGTTTCCAATCCTGGCAGCTCAAGAGAACAATCCTGTAACATTAGAATAAACCATTTTTTTGTTAATGTTACACCTTGGAGCTCTACTCTGAATAGGAAACTTTTCTCCAAAATATGGTTGAAATTGTATCTCTTTACCCTGAGCTAATTTTTTTCAGCCTGGTTAACATCATAAAATGGATCATGAATATGTCCTTTGAAAATTATGCCAGTTCTGTGTAGCTTATGCAGCCTGTATGAGCTGGTGCAAAGAAACTTGCTCCTACTGTATAGGATGTAAGTGCCAGAGAAGAGAGAGAGAGTTAAAGAAGGCAAAACATATACTGGAATGTAGTGGCATAACAAATCTATCCCTATCTTGAAAGCTTCATAGTGCATGAGTAATGAAACTAAAGATGAATTACTACATCTCGCACTCATAATTTACAGGTATGTGTGTATTATCTTACAGGACAAATATTCCATTTATGCTTTTTGATGGTGTTTTTCTCCATATAGGAAAATAAAAGTAGTATTAGTCACATGTCCATAGCTTTGTCAGTGGCTGCAAAATGTTTTTCTTTCCAAGAGGAAAGCATACTGAATAATGCAACACTTACATTTAGGCTGCTTTTTCATGCATTGACACTTTCAAAATCTAAAACCAGTTCTTTTAATTTTAAGGGCTACAGTGTCTGCTCCCTTTATTCCTGCCCTTTATCATCTTACACACCATGTTCTTATAGACAAGGAGGGAAAAAAAAACATTCCAGTGTCTAATAAATCTGAAATCCATCAGGGGCCGCAAAGCATTCGTTCTCCTTCCTTGGTTCAGATCGTGTTACAGTCAGCAGCACAACAAATGCACTTTGTGCACCAACACCAATAGATTAAGCACTTTCCTTCATTTTTCCAGGGCGGGAACTGATTCCATTTTTTTACAGTTTTGAAAAATTTTAACAAAGGAAAGAGCTGCACAATTGATTTTCAAGCAAGGAGAGAGGAAAATTGTACTACAGCCCTTGTTTCTGAGCAGAATTTTAATATTGTTAAAGGATTTAAAAACTATTTTATGATACCAGCCTTCCCTAGCATGCAGTGCTCTGCGTTTGCTTTCCTGAGCTAATTTATGAGAATCTCTCTTTGTGCAGGTCTCACTAGTCCTTTTTTTGTTCTTAGACCTTCTGCTGGCTGTTACAGGGATGTTGCACATGCTGGGCTTTCTCAAATGGGGATTTTACTTTTGTTCTTTCCTATTGCATTTCCCTAAAATAAAATATTTTTTGGGGGGAGAAAAAAAAGAAGTATTTTATTACTATTTGTGTAAGGAAATGCAATGTGGGGCCAACTTTTTGGGTGTGCTGGGACTGATTTTCTAGTACGTGATCTCACAGGTATGAGAGATTTTATTTCTGTGGGCTCAGTTCACAGCAACATACCTAAAAGTAGGTTAATAGGTGTCATATGTTTTAATAGTTTGTTTCTGACCCTTGTAAACAGACATTTTAGAAGAGTTGAGCCCTCAGCAAGGTGAGTTCTAGAAATCAGAAGCCAATTCTGCACCATTAACCCTTCTAAAATGATATTCTTTCAGATATCTGCATCTCATTTTATGCTTCTGTGAAATGGAAGCATTAGTAACAAGCTAAATCATTATTAATGAAATGATCAGTGAATGACATCTATTAAATGCTTTTTAGCTTCATGGATGCTAAGTAACATGAAAACAAATGAGGAATTTGTAGAACTCACATGCTAAGTTTAAAAATGTGCCTGGAGATAATCCTTCAAAACTTGTTCCACACAAAATGTTGCATTTATCAAATCCAGAACAATTTGCAAAGTGAATACTAACTAATGTGTATGGTTTTAAGGAAGAAGCAAGAATTAGCTAATGTAACTAGGGCTTTTCACATGGCACGATTTTTTAAGTCTACAGGAAGAAATGTTGAAGAGCAAGAGCAAAGAAAAAGCAACAGGACAGATGTTGAAAGGCAATCATTCAAATGGCACATGCTGATCTGAATGATCTGCATTTGTGTGTACAGGATTTGGGGGTTTTACACTGACACATGAGCATTTTCGTACATACCAAAATTAATCACTTGCATATACACAAACTGGCAGATTTTAAACCAGTGGCATTGAGCGTCATGCAGATTTGTGGGACACAGCTGTAAGCAGGATCTCTGCAAGGATTCACGGTGATATTAACTTTGGTCTTGGCCTCATCTTAACCGGAAGAGTCAGCAGAGCAAAAACTCCATCCCATCCCACCACTGGCTTCTGTGCTGGATTAAGTAAGGCTAGAATTCAGACCTCTCATAGCAGGTAAAAAGATACATGATGTCTTCCATGTTACTTCTGCCAAAGAGGTTTCTTATTTTCCCCCCATATCACAAAGTCTGATGCTCTGAGTGCGCGGTGGACACCTGTGCATTGTAGAAGGGTACTTCTGCTGCACTCAGTTTTCATCAGGGGTAGCATATCAAATGTGAAAAACTGTAAATGGTTGCTGGTGTTTCAAAGCAGAAATTGTCTTTTGAAAAAAATGATGTTCCCAATGCTGGCATGAAATACTTGCCTGAAGAAAAATGTTACAGTCCTTCAGAAATCATAAATGGTAACAGTGAGGTATCAGAAAGAGAAAAGCTCTATGCAGATACCTCAAGGAAAAACAGCTGGTGGTCACTCATTTCTTTGGGTGACCTTCAGTGTTACACTGCTTGATTTGTGAGGAGTCATCCATTTGAGCTAAATAATGTGATCATATTTTAAAGCAGAAGCATCTATTTAGAGCTTCAGTCCCCAGTGAGTAAGTATTTCTTAAGAAACGGTTGAAACTGTCAGTATTTTAGGAAGGCTGGAGGTATTGCAGCCATTTCCTATCAGATGATGTGGCTCTAAGTGTGCAGGGTAATAGGACTTTTTTGAGCAGATTAGGTTAAATACTAGACCTGACTTCATTAATGCTGACGGAAACACAGAGCTCTGTATTCTGTGAAAAATTACGTTTTGAAGGAAAACCTCCTTTTAAGCAAGAGTTCAGACTGTTACATTTGATACTGTTGTAACATAACACATTTCAAAACTGAGTGTCAAGAAGTAGAAATGTTCCAGTCCTATAAGAGCAAATTAATACATTTTGACATTATTGGCGGTCTTTGTTTCTGCTTTTTAAACGAATTTCCATCAGAAAACCTTGCATGGGAAATAAATGTGGCAAACTCACTCTCAAGGATCTTGAGGCAAGTAATTACTCAGTAATTTTTTTTAGGTTCCTTATTCTGATTAAATAGTGAATAAGTAATCATCATTTATCTATGGCCCGCTGCATTTTTGTTGTGCAGTACAAAACTGCGACAGTGAGCTCAGAAAGTAACCTTGTTGCCTTTGCTGTACCGGCACCCCTGATGATTCTTGTACACTAACAGGGTAGTAATAAATAGAAATGTCTTTTGAATTACAAGTTCCATTGGAATCACAGGGGGAAGGACAGTGTTTGCCAAATTGAGGAAGACAAAACTGGCATGAAAGGAATTTTATGTTCAAGCTTCTCAGAGGGGATTAGAAGTGCTTTCTTAATAGTGACTGAAAGGAAGCTGGAATGGTGTCATTGAATGTACAGACATTGCCCTGCTTACGCACATACACACACAGAGTCACCACATACAGCAGCACAAGGAGCAAATGCATGAAGTTGCTGCAATGTTTGAGGGGGTTTTAAAATACTTTTTTTTTCATCCTTCATCTCCACATGCTAAATATATAATAAGATACCTTGTTTTCTTGCCCTGTAGACCCACATGACCAAAATGAGGGACATTAGTAAGTGTTAGAAAAAGTATTCAAGTGTGAAATGAATTTCTCAAACATTAATAAGTATTTCTAGAACCTCAGTTTCATAATTTGACAGTTCCACAGTTAATAAATCACAGCAAAAGGAAAGTGTGATAACAGCAGAGCAAAAGGAAGCCTGGATCTATGAAGTGCAACTGAGGGATAAGTGAAAGAAGTATGCTGATGACCCTGAGTTTACTTTTGGGTTTTCTGAGCTTTCACTCAATTAAATTCATTCCTCTCCTCTAAAGACCTATTATGTGCCTTTACCTACGTTCCTAACTGATTTTTCTTGTAATTCAGCTCCTTTGCCAAGTTATTTCCATGATTTAAGGAGCACTGATTAAAAAAAAAAAAAAAAAAGAAGTAATGCTGAGATGAAAGGAGCATCCACACTATATTGGAAAGGGTTTTCTAAAGAGGTGGGTTGATTTTAATTAACTTCCTGAATGAAACAATTCAGGTCTGGAGCTTGCAATCTCCAATAATCACTCTTTGGCCTCTGGATGAAAAAGGGAGTCAATTACACAAAACAATGCAACAAAAAGGCAGTCAATGGAAGGAAGTAGTTATGTGTATTACAGCAGTATACACATTAAGGGAGGCCCAGCATCTAGAGGCCTAAAATGAGATTAGTCCCCACTGCGGTAGACACTAAATACACATTGGAAGAGACAGCCCCCTCACTCCAAAGCTTATCTTCCCTGCAAGGCTAGTTCCTGTTTATGTATTTTGAGCATTTCCCCTAATTCAAACTCTATATGCACACAAAAAGCTTTAACTTTACAGTGAGTTGTTGTCCCAGGACTGCAACAAACAGACGCTTGTTACCCAACAACCATGTGCCAATGTGACTATTCTGCAATACAAACATTGCTTAGCATCACTCAGCTGCTCCTGCATCCCTCTTTTCCTCTGTCCCCCTTTTTGTGTGTTCTGAAAAGAGTTGACCTAGACCACATTTTCTCTAGAAGGAGTTAATACAAAAACCTGAGGAAGCTCCCAAGACCTTCCAGTTAAGTAAGAAAGATCAAGAATGAGAGAAAAAAAAAAGTGGCTGAGAGAGAGAATGGCTTGTTAAAGCTCATGATAAGCAGATCTTTGTTCAGCTCTTGCCACAACAGGGTTCTGGTCTCTACTGGGACCACTACCTGCTGCCATAACTTATATAAGCCATGGTAATACACAGGCTGGCAAGCTTGTGTGAAAAGGGAGAACCAAAGCAGCATACACATGGGAAAAAAAATTCAGCTGGAAAAATGAAAAATATTCTCAGGCCTTGCCCATCTCTGACAATGATGGTTTCCCATCAAAGGGCCCCAGGATTTGATGTGTCACTGTAGCAGGCTTTCCAATTCCTGCAACTTTCCATACATCTCGGAAGACTTAGGTTCTAGGGTTAGAAGCTCTGAGTGTAGTTTAGGAGCTATAGCTGTTACTTTGGTTTATTAGCTATTGAAATTACCTGCTGGGCATCTGCAGACTCAGTATGGTTTAAGGTTATGAAAAATCTCAGTCTCCTTTATGTCCGGGGTTGGCAGAAGGGAACAACACAATTTTCACCCAGGTAAAAGGGAAGCTGAACAGCTATCAAAGACCACAGTAACCAGGGAGAGACAACATGAACACAAATGAACTTGAAAACAGTGGGTTTGTTTTCTGTTGCATAACAGGTTGGGGGTGCCCTTGTTTTTAAAAGATAGACATTTTGCTGGTGTTATTTTCTTTCAATGATCGTATGAAGGGTCTGCCTGTATCCATCTATTCTGCAGAGATAGTTCATCTCATGTCCACTTGATTTCTTCTGTGTTACAAGTACAGACACAAGCACAAGAAAGCAGCATTAAGCACAAAGCAGTGGGCTTAATATGCTGGATTGGTTTCTCCAGAAAACTAACACAGCCTTAGGAGTTTGACTCCCTCTTTCAGAAAGTCACTTCCACTTTCCCAGTAGACACATGAGTTTAACTCTACCAGCCATTGCTGTCTTTTGGCTTAGACAGGACCTAAATATTTACTGTCAAATGTAACAAAAATGAAGGGAAATCATAGCAGAGCAAATCCAGAGACACAAGCTCAATTGTCTCTTCTCAGCAGTTCACCTTTTACCCTCCTTCTGCTCCCCTGCAACAAAGCATCCTCACCCTTTGCAAATAGACTCTAAAGGCCACAGCCTATCAATATCTGAATGAAAAGAACCCAGCAGAGTCAAGGAGTTTTTTGTCTTTCTTTGGTTTATATTTTCTGTAAGTCCTGGTCTGAATTTAATACCATGCTCTTGCCAGCAATGCTTTAAGATAGATTCCATTCACAGCAGCAAGACACACCCTCACTTCAGACATACATCTATGCCACTGCACCTTCAACATACCCAAGCAAAGCTCCTCGGCTTCTCCTGAGCAGAGAGTGTAAGTAAGTCGAGAGGATTGTGCTAACTGCTCAGTTTTCTGTTGCTGGCAGAAAGAGAAAACCCTTGTGATGGAGTTCAGAGTCTGAACTCTGTCACCTGTCAGTTCCACTGACACTAATGTGGTACTTCTGGGTTAGGATTTGGTTTAGAAAGGCCATCCTCAACTAAGCAAGCACACTGGTTTAAAAGGAAGCATACTCATGAAACGTTGCCCTGGAGTGGTTGTTTTTATTGATATAATTAAGATCAGAATCTGAGCCACTGCCTATAAGCCCAGAAGACAATTAATGAATAGTTTAACCAGGGAAGTGGCTTCTGTGGTAAGAAAATGAAATTGGCATTTAAAAGTGAGATTTCCTTTACCACTCCTGGTGTATTTTTCCCTTTGTCAGCAGAATTAGTGAGTAAAAGAGTAAGCAGAAAGGGGCTACAGAAGGAGTAGGGAGACTTCAGGGCTCTGCTTTTATCAGAATGGCGCATGTCCTGGCGTTCATTGTGAATCACCTGATCTATGGGTTTAGCAGAAGAAAATCTGAGACACTTGGAAAATGAATGAAAGTGATCCTGAATGGGAGGAAGAAAAGCTTAACGTAAATAGCTAAAGTCAATCTGTCGAAATGTCACATGTAAGGATGGCTCTGTTCTGCTTAATGACAAGAGAGCAAGAAAGGTGAGGGGGAGGAAAGGGACCCTTTTGAAAGGCTGTTGTTCTAATGTACCTGTGTTTATTTTAAAAGCTTTTCAAGGAGGTAGGGAGGGAAGCTACTGTCTCTCAGTGATAAAAGTTGAGTGATTGAAGACACCATTTGGGGGCAATCTGTTCTCTGTCTCTGTAGTTGCCCACAAAATTCCTGATATGCAGGTAAAGCAAACTGAGAAGAATGTGGCCGATGGGAAAAGACTAAGAATCAGGAGTCCTGGGCTTGATTTCTAATTCTGATGCTGTTTGTAGAGGTGAGCAACGTGAATGTTCAGTGAAACCACCTATCTGGCAAGTGGGAAAAATAGTCTTTACTCCATTCATATGACAGGGGAGCAATGAGATTTAAGGAGTATTTGCCAAACAGATTGGTTTCCTGGT